TGTAAGTTGAGTCTCCATTGACCTACAATGCATTGAAAATCGATTAATCCCGTAACCGGCCGTTTTTGTTCTATTTTTGTTCCATTTTGGTTTTTTTCTGGTCTGTAGGTCGATTCTCCGGCTGCAAGTCGAACCTAAATTTTGCGGCCAGAGAAGTCTGTAACTCGAAAAGTCTGTAAGTCGAGGGTCCACTGAACTTGAAATTAGGCTTTCAAAACCTGAAAATCATGTTTATGTGTATGGGAGCAAAACAGCTTACATATCAGCACTCATTCCTAGCTTAATGTTTTTGTATTTAAAGCAGGATAGTGAATGCTTCCTTTTATAGTTGAGGTCTGTAGGCAGGCTGAGTTAACCTTGGCACCAGAGGCAGAAACATCCCAAGAATGATACAGATGTCCCATTGGTAGAACTTTCTTTGTAGGGAGCTACGCCTGGTGCTGAAGCTCTTGCCCTTTGGTACCAAGTAAAAACCTTTAGAACAACAACAATTGGACATCTTTTATCTGCTGGTAATATTAACAGCATTGTGATGACTCATCTTTTTTCACTATTTTCATTGCTTCTTTTTACAGTGGGGTCTCTACTTAAGAACTTAATCCGTATTGGAAGGTGGTTCTCAAGTGGAAAAGTTCTTATGTAGAATCTGCATTTCCCATAGGAATGCATTGAAAACCATTTAATCTGTATCTGCTCTTTTCCGTCCATAGAAACTAATGGGAAGCTGCTATTCCGCCTTCTACCACTAGAGGGGGATATTTTTTTCTCTTTTTTTTCCCTTAGGTCAGGGAACAGTGTTAAAAGAACTTCTGACAAAGCTAATTTTGAAGCAATGGACTGAAAACCAATTAATCTGTTCTGGCTGTTTTTTTGTTATGTAGAGGTGCGTTCGTACATTGAAGCATTAGTTCCCATAGGAACTAATGCAAAGCTGGTTAATACGTACTCTACCACTAGGAGGAGAACTTTTTTTAACCTAAGATGACCTAAGGTTAAAAAAAGAGCAGGAAAGTTTTTTTTTCCTGTTCTTGTCTTGGATTTTTGTTTTCAAGTAGAAGCAAAATTTAGCAAATGGAGCTGTTCTTAAGTGGAATTGTTCTTAAGTAGGGACGTTCTTAAGTAGAGACCCCACTGTAGTCTCATTATGTCATTAGATACTTTTTCTTCCCTTGTCTTAGAATGATGAGCTCCTCTGATCTGTCATCAGGGAATATAAATTCAGATTTATGAAGAAGTTATAGAAACAAGCAAACAAACACACATTCAATGTATTATCGAAAGCTTTCAAAGCCAGGATCCATTGTTGTAGGTTTTTCGGGCTCTTTGGCCGTGTTCTGGACGTTTTTTTCCTTCCTAACATTTCGCCAGTCTCTGTGCCCGGCATCATCAGAGGACAGGGGTTCAGAGCACAGACAAGAGTTCTAACTCCTGTCCTCTGAAGATGCCCATGGCCACAGAGACTGGTGAAACGTTAGGAAGAAAAACCTCCAGAACAAGGCCAAACAGCCTGAAAAACCTACAACAACCAAACGCACATTCCTTTTTAAATTGAGTATGCAAATGTTTTCCATTTCTTAAGAATCTTAACACTTAATGAAGTCATTTGGAACTCTGAGACGTAATGGAATGGCAAGACTTAAAAAGGCATCTGCTATTCTTACATAAGTGTGTCTGACTCTGTGTTCGTGTGTGCATTCCTTTTGAGAAATAATTGACTGCAGGGCTCGTGTGTCACCTGCCCTTTTCCCTCTTCATCTCTGTGTGACGAGCTCGGGCTTGACTTTGTGGTTTGTTAGCGGGTGTTGAGGAAGGGATTCTTTGCTACCCTAATCTGGACAAATTGCATTTTTGTTTTGCCTTTTTTCCTCTTGGGATATATAGACTTACTTTCGAAAGTGCTTTAATTTTTTTAATCCACAGTTTGATGTCTTTCGTTACATTGAACCTCTTCACATTTATCTTAGGGCTTCATGTTTGTGGCCTAAAGACAAATCCTGGTTGCTTGGAAGTAGCCTGAGTAGAGCAGGCAAGGTCTGCAGGTGTTCATTTCCCCCTGCTCCTTGTCATGAAGTTATTTGAAGCTATAGATCAGCCTGTTTGGGTAGACAAAACGCACACACAGATAACACGTCACGTGCACACATTAGTATGTGCAGGGAAGCAGAGCTCATCATGCACATGTGTGTATATGCAAACATGCGCACATAGCCTACCCCTGTACACACATCTCAGTGTGCTCTTATCTCCCAGTAATCTCCACTGGCATCTCAAAACTACTCTCTTTAGAACCCAGGGCACTCGCTGATGGGTTGCAGGAGAAAAGTGGCTAAGGAGCCTCTTGGCTTTACGGGTCACAGAAAAAGCAGCAAAGACTAGCTGGTTTCATACCTTTTGTTATAAGCTCGACTTCTAAGATCAACTTCTGGAAATGTCTTAGGGAGTATGACTGATTTGCTCCACTGGCATCTCAAAACTACTCTCTTTAGAACCCAGGGCACTCGCTGATGGGTTGCAGGAGAAAAGTGGCTAAGGAGCCTCTTGGCTTTACGGGTCACAGAAAAAGCAGCAAAGACTAGCTGGTTTCATACCTTTTGTTATAAGCTCGACTTCTAAGATCAACTTCTGGAAATGTCTTAGGGAGTATGACTGATTTGTGCAGCAAAGTGAAAAATACTTTAAAAAAATCAATGTTATTTGTGTTCCCTTTGAAACATTTTAAAAATCAGTATTGGAGATGGTGATTTTTAAAGTAATGCAAAAAATGCTTGTTTCTACGCTTGATAAAATTTAAGTTGAAGGCTGAAATATGAAGTAACAAAATTAAGAGTACTGTACAGGGGAAATTGTGCTTATGTGGTCTGATAAAGCATATTTCTGTAATTTACTTTTGTATCACATTCTGATGGATCGAGATATTGGCATTCCCTTAGTTGATAAGGCTGTGTTGATATCTATTTTAATTGCTTATTCTGTAGCTTTTCAGCTGGTTTGTTTTTCTGTTCTTTTTCAATAGAACTGTGATATTCTGATTCTGCAAAAACTACAGAAAGCCCTGTATAACCTTAGGAAAGTTTACATGGAAAGAGAAAGTTGGAAATAAACAAAAAGAGTTTGAATGGCAAACATTGGTGGGATTAAAAATCTATTCTTGGTGATGCAGAAATCTACCTTTTGCTGCGCTTGTTTTAATTTATTAACCTATGAGAGAAAATAATTTCACATGCAAGTTTTAATAGGTAGCAAAAGAAGTAAAAGTGATTTTGATGTATCCTATAACTACTTAGTGAGGGTAAGCCTATAAGGCTACAGTATGCTATTAATTTCATAGATAGTGGTCCGCATCCTAAAAATCTTAAAATTTATAGGTGAAGTTCTTTACTATTGGAGTGAAGCCTATCTTAATGTTTATTTGAATCATGTAATTAAATTGTTTTCTCTTAACTTTGGATGCTTTCAACAAATTAGTGAAAATATCTTAACTGAAAAGCAGGCTCTGGTTAATCATCAGGATTAACCAGATCACTCTTTTGATACTTTCAGTGTGTCATATACTCTGTATGTATTCTTATCACTACAGATGGTTTCTGAGAAGTATATCTTGAACCTGCTCCCTTTTTTCCTTAGGGAAAAAAGGTGTCATTAGAATGAAATAGCAATGGCAGGACCAGTTAATTGTGAGACAAAAAGTCAACAGGTCAAACGGCTTACATGCAAGAGTTCATAAGGAAATGAAATGAAAAATAATTCATATTCTAGCAAAGTTATGCAACCTATCACTGAAAATTAGCCTGTTTAATGGAGCCTGGAAGGTTATCAGTTCTAAAAGAGGATCTTCAGGGACCCTTGAAGTTACAGAACTGCTGATACTTGTACTTGGTAATGGTGGAACATACGATTCAAGCTAGAGTAATTAAGAACATACAAAAAAAGTCTTTCTGAGAAAGAATGAAGATTGCTTACATCCTATTCTATTAACTGCTTGGAGTTCCTCAAGAGCTCCACTGAGATTAGTAACTGAGGATTGGTGATCTGCTTTCAAGTAATTTTGACATAGTCCTTCATTAAAGGCTGCTGCATGATCTTAATGGCCTGGCATACAGTATGATGAAGGGGGACTGTACTGAGATTGGCACTGTCGGTTTGATAAACTCTCTGGAGGGTAGGAATAGATAATACAGTGCTTACATCCTATTCTATTAACCGCTTGGAGTTCCTCAAGAGCTCCACTGAGATTAGTAATTGAGGATTGGTGATCTTCTTTCAAGTAATTTTTGACATAGTCCTTCATTAAAGGCTGCTGAATGATCTTAATGGCCTGGCATATGATGAAGGGGGACTGTACTGAGACTGGCACTGTCGGTTTGAGAAACTCTCTGGAGGGTAGGAGTAGATAATACCAAATGTATGTGCCTGATGAAGATGGCTACAGGCTATGAAAGATGATGCCACATAAAGGCCAGAATCCTGTGATTAGTTATGACAGCAGAAATGCAATGGCATAAACTGCAGCAGGAAATTGTTCCCGGTTAGTAGGTTGTTGCTTGCGTCCCTCATTGTATGACTTGGGATACAAGTGGCATCTCTTTAACTAGGGGGCAGTTTGCTGTTGTGATTTATTCCTTTGCATTTTCATTGGCATAACTGATAGGAGTCTGGCCAATATCTGTTATCAGCCGTACATGAATTTCAGCCACTGACTGCAGTGATTTCTTAACTTCCGAAAGTTATGCTGTTTGTGTTATGTCAGCGTAACAAGGATTTGGACATTGCCTCAGTATTACATCTGTATAAAATAATGGAAATAGTCTTTTCCGCACGTCCTTTTAAGAACAACTGATCTCGTAAAAATATTCTGTGGGGTGAACTTGCACTCATTTTATAAATGTCTTTAAAAACATACATAGTATTGAAGTGGATTATATAGTAATTCTGACTGCCAAATTTTGCTGAGTGCCATGACTTTTCCTGCACTGATCCTGCTATTTCTTACTTTTTAACAGAAACTTGAGCCACAACAAGTTGTCAGAGATTGATCCTTCTGCCTTTGCAAAGCTGCCAAACCTGCAGGAAGTGTAAGTATTTCTCTCTCAAAAGGACTTTAAGCTAATTTCCCCTTTGTCTTCATTTCCCTATGTACAGTGGTGCCTCGCTTAGCGATGTTAATTCGTTCTGAAAAAATCGCTGCTAAACGAGAACATCGCTAAGCGAAATAAAAAGCCCATAGAAACGCATTAAAACGTGATTAATGCGTTCCTATGAGCTTAAACTCACCTTTAAGCGAAGATCGTCCATAGCGCCGCCATTTCTGGTGCCTTTAAAGCGAGGAATCCGTCCCAGAAAACTGGGTGGCCATTTTGTTTACCCTGCGGTCATTTTGAAACTGCCAATCAGCTGTGCGAAAATGGGGGCTTTGCGATGATTGCTTCCCTGCGATCATCGCAAAGTGAAAATACCCCATAGGGACCATCGCGAAATGATCGCTTTTGCGATTACAAAAAATGTGTTGCAAAGCAATTTCATCGCTATACGGAGTGATCGCTATGTGAGGCACCACTGTATTCCTTTTCATTCTAGCAGGAGTGGCAGTAGGAAAATGTATATAGTTACCCATGGCATGTTCCCCTTGTACTGCTAACTGACATCAGCAGATTATATTGGAGCCACTGTTATTCTTTCATATGGTACTTGCATGCTTTACTTTTTCTTTTCTTTTCTTTTTTTAAATTAAGCAGTCAATTAGTAGAACACAGCCTCTCAATTAGACTAGTATTGGAAATCATTGGTGTTTGATGTTCCTGTCTCTCTCTCTCTCTCTCTCTCTCTGCTCTCTGCTTCTGTATTTCATAGTCAGAATTAGTTCTAGGCGAGTTCAGGTAGCCATATCTTACTGTGTGGATATTGCTGTGCGCTAGCAAGGAAGAACTGACTCAATGGTGACATCAGGTGCTAGGCAACCCAGAATCTCTCGGGAAATAATGGTGTAGTGTTCTGTCCTGTTATGTTGTGTGCTGTTAGAACTGATTATAGTGACCCTAACAGGGCTTTCAAAATGAATGAGTTATTTAAGGAGTGGTTATACTGTCTTTGTTAACCCCCCCCCATGTGTTTCTATGGCCAGACAGGAATTTGAACTCTGCCTGTTGCTCTATCTACTTCACTCCACTGGGTATCTTGTTGGGTGACCTGAAGTACAAAAGATTTTGTTCTCTTAAGGTCTGTGTTATAGTCCAAGAAGACAAGGTTGAAATTTGTGTCTTAGTCATTTTAGGAGAGAGGTGGCTGACACTGGTTGTGGTGATGAAAACTACATTTCATTACATTTCTCTTATTGTTTAGTTGTGTTTATATAGAAGGTTATTCTGTGAAGAAGCAAATTATTCTGTTACGGTAATTCATCCCACATTGCTAGTGTTAAATCATTTTGTTCTAATCCCTTGGCTTCACATTTTGAAGAATCTTTATTGTGGGGCAGTGATGGCAATGAGGACTGTCAGAATTAATCATAGTTCCATAATCAGATCTAACAACAAATTATGGTTGCTTGAGAGAGAATGTTAATATTTCAATTTGCTTATTGCAGCTGTCCCATGGAAGAGAAAGGAATAGAGAGCCCACTACTCCAGTGCTTATAATTATATAGGGAATACCTTTATCAGGGTGTAACATTAGACAGTGGACAGATGCAAAGTTCTTTATAGTTTGAACAGTTTGGATTAAACACCTTGAGTTATATTGGAAATAGTTGAGAACCAGTACAATTGCTTTAAAATCTCTGAATACAGAGCTTGTCCAAGCTGTATCTGTCTGGAAGAGACCATAGGTGATGCATTGTGTGGAAGCTGCTTAGGATTCCAAAGATAGGACCACTATACTGTACTTAATAGTAGTCCAAAACTGAAGTGGTGATTTAGGTGGGACTTTTCTCTCCAATCCCAGTAAATCTCATCCTAAATTATATTTTGTCCTGAAAGTGGTTAGAGCCCTGAAGGTCTTACTGCTTCCTTGCCTTGAACAGGGGGAGCTTTAGCAATTCTGGCACACGTTTGGCTGCTTTGATCTTTTTTTTAATGATAGTATAAACTCTGAGAGGCTAAGTACACTGCCATTGCTTTCCTCTCTCTTCTCCTCTGCCCTTTCGTTCTCACAGGATGTTCAACAATTGTCTTCAGCTTAATATTGCTTCTGGAGGCTACTGAGCATTTTGAATGGTCAGTGGATGATTTTGGATTTTTTTTCCCCACTTCAATTTCCAAACTTTTTCCCTTTGTTACTAGGGATTCCTAGAAGGAACACCAACCAGAATTTCTACAGAGAGCAGTCAGATATCCTTGCTTGTTTTTGAGGGAAGCTCCAGATCAGCTTACCTAACATAACACTAACAGCATGTCTCTCTCAAAATTTATTTATTTATTTATTTATTTAAAATATTTTTACACCACCTTTCTCCTTGAAAAGGACCCAAGGTAGCTACTTATTTAAAGTAGAAAGTTGAAAACAAGGAATATACAACTGTGGTTAACGTCATTAAAAGATTATTTAAAACTACAATGAATGAGGAGGCATCTTACTTCATTAACAGGCAATATTAAGGTAAAGATTAAGAAGTATACAAAAAAATTTAAAAAAAGTCACTCTGAAAAATGGAAAACACAAAAAAGGCAACACAAGTACTGTAGTACTAAAAATCCAGTCAGAGCAGTAATGCATAACTGTGTGTCTAAAATTTACATGCAGGTAGTTGGTTACTGAAGGAAGGCTTGCCTGAAAAGAAAGGTCTTTGCCTGCTTGTAATAGCAATTATTGACCTTCTATTAGGATAGCCATTAATTGAAAACAGCTTGAGGACACATAGCAACAATTTAAAGAGCTGATGTGGTGAAGTGGAAGGAGTTTCCGGCTAGGAGTCCGGAGACTTGCGTTTAAATCTATGCTTGGCCATGGAAACTCAGTCAGGAGGGTGGCAATGGTACAACCACTCCTTAAATACCCTGCAGACCTTGAAAACCTGGGTAAGTGACTAAGATGGCACATAACAAACAAACAAAAAACAGAGGATGTATCATTAGTCTTGGTTTCTAGTGCGAAAAGGAAGTGTAAGGAAAGAGCTCCCTACATCCAAATATTTAGAAAATGTAGGGAAAAAGCTCCCTACCTCAAAATATTTGTTGAGTTTGAGATTTTTTTGGCTGATATTTAAAGTATTAGGGGCCAATGTCTTCCTAAGTCATTATAGGGAATTTTGATTACTGATTAGATTAAATGGACAAGATGGCCCAAGTAGAGTTCCTGTAGAATTGTACAAGGAAGCATTCAAAGAAGCACTCCAGTACCATGATGCTGTTCAAAATGTGTAGTTCTGGCCTATGTTCTTCAAGGATAGTGATATTTTGCTTTTATTTTTAAGAGAAATTGGTTGTAAATTGGACAAAGTTGCCTTCCCGAACAGCCCCCTTTAGAAATAAAAATAAAATCAAATCTAAGTGCCTTTCAGTGAATCCTCGAGAGAACTGTGCTATTTTTGAGCAGGATCCATTTCAACATGACATTAGCCTGGCAACTGGGCTGTAAATATTTTATACTGAGTGGCATTTCCACCTCCCCTTCTTACCACACAGAGTAGCTTTATTAAAGGGGGTAGAAAGAGTACTTCCACCATTGTTGTTACAAAAACTGGCCACCTATGATTTTTTTTTTTTGCGGTGGGAAGCTCCTGACCAGATGCTGTAGCAACTTACTCAGCATAATAGTAACAGCAAATCTTTGGCAAAATAAAATAACAATCAAAAGTAACAAGAGTTTTTTGTGCTGATGTAGTTTTGAATCTCCTGGCTTTCAGGGTGATATGGGAGAAGATTAAAAGGTAAAGATAAAGGTTCCCCTTGACAATTAGTCCAGTCATGTCCGACTCTACGGAGAAGGTTAAATTCTGATAATTTAACATGAGGGCTGCAAACCTAAATGCTGCAGAGCAGACCCCTTAGCTCATTTGGAGTTCCTATTCCCCTAGCTGGCAGATCATCATACATGAAGGCATTCTTTACAACTGGAAGCCCTGTGGATTTTCTGATGTTCCTATGAAGCCCCTTGGTAAATGAAATTCTTAGCCCATTTTGGCTGCAGACACATCCCTTTGTGTGTTCATGAAGCTTTTCTCATTGACCGAAAAGGAAAGACTTTGAAAACAAGAAGATGGTGTGCACAAAGTATAATTCTTACACTCCTGCAAGGTAGCTGAGCTGACAGAAATGACACCTTCATAATATTCTTCAAGCAGTTACTGAAAAGTTGTTCAGTGTTACGTCGCTTTGGCATAAATCCAGTTGTGAGTAGACCCACTGACTCGGGATTTACATGTTGACTGACCATTCAGCCATTACTTTAGTGAGCCCATTCCAGTTGGGACTAATTATAGGATTGACGTCTTGACATTTTCTTCCAGATTTTGAAAGACAAAGGTAGTGGTTCTTGAAGTAATTCCCTTGACTGGGATATTTTGTTAAAATTATTTGGATGAACAAGCCCAGGATGACCTCTTCATCAGAATTTTAGAAGACTGGGGTTTTGCCAGCTGACCAGGATGTAACTTGTCTTTCTTTTTGAAATCAGAGTTATATCTGGACTCCTCATGTTCATTTCTGAAAAAGTTGATTACACTCAGAAATTGTCTACGTACTTTTTATAGTGAAATGCTTGATGCTGCTAATTGGTTGTCATAAATAGGAATAACACCAGAAAATTGTAAAGTTACGCACCAATTGCTTTTTAGAAATAGGCAGATAGACTGATAGATAATTAGCTGATCTGGTATAAGTGGCATTTAAAATAATGTAAACAAATGAGGGGAAAACAGAATGGAATTTTGTTTTTATAACTCATTCACTTTCCTTTGAGCTGTTACAAAGCTCTTCTCCCTTGAACTTTCTAGACATGTGAGCCATGAACAGAAATAGATTAGCTTTAAAATTTCGCTGGTCAGAAACATGTAAATAAATGGCATCTAATTATGTATTTCCTTCTTAAAATTAGAAGCACTATCACAGTCTCAGAGAGGAAGTAACAATCTCGCTTTTGATTCCTCTCATTTAATTGCTGCAAGGAGGGTGAAGGCTGGGCGAGAAGGCCAGGAAATTAGGCAGGTTTTTTAAACTGCCAGACAAGCAACTGTTATTATGGTAATTAATTGATTAATTCAACATACAAACAAGGGCTCTTTAAACCAAGAAAGGAGCATGTTATGTGACCCAGATCAATTTTCAGCTAGTGCCAGAATTTAGACATTGTGCAACGTGAGAAGAGTGGTCCTGTGTCTGATATTAGAGCAGTGGAATGGGAAGTTGTAAAGCGTCTGTATTTAGCAGACTTTTCTGTGGGGGAAAAAATTCATGTTAAAATGACTGCGAATTCACTGGACACTTTTTAAAAAAAGTAATCTTAGTTTGGCTTTGCTTAAATATAAATAATTCCACAGTATTCTTTTTGTGTGGAAATAAAATGTTTACAGGTGTGTTTGGCCCATTTGCAGTGGGCCAAAATTCCTGAACAAAACTGCATTAGATGAATTGTTATACACCACTCTTTTGACTGTGTTTTTGAGTATTGCCTGTTTCCCATTTCTAGGAGGGGCATTTTGTTTGCTCCTTTTAAATATTTCTGCACTTCGTATTTTCAGCTTTAAATATTGCCTTTTAATGATGTATGCCCCTTTTGTATACTCATTGTTTTGTTCTTAAATATTGTTTTTAAATGCTGTAAGCTGCCTTAGGGCCTTTTCTAAGGAGCAAGGCAAGGTTAAAATATTTTAAATAAATAAAATAAATGGGAGCAATGAAATAAGATGCAGCCCCTCCATCTGAAGTTTAGTTTTGATAATGTTTGAACTCAGCATTTGGGCTTGTCTCTCTCCTGATGAACCAGAGCAGTGGCCTTGGGTATTTTTTGTTGGGTCAGTTCTCAGATTTGCTGAAGGAGAGGCAAGCCAGGCACTGTGGTAAACCAGCCATGATTAGGGGACCCATGCTTTGCTTCACTGCACTGGTTTGCGGTGAGAGTGATTGGGCAGTGTATCCAGTACACTGCTCTAAGACGAGAGAACCCTGACATATTGTGATGTGCAAGCTCAGCCATAGCCTCAGACTTCTTTTATTTTAAGACGTGGCCTGATGGGTGTTCAGTTGCAGCCTTCGTTTCCTAGGAGCAATATTTCTGTTCCTTTTTCTGAGGCAGTGAAGCTGCTGCAAGCTTTGTCAGGGTGCTCTGCTCCAAAGTTAAATGCCAGAGGTTACATCTATCATGAAGGTTGTCAGTACAGGGATTAAAATGGCAGAAATTATCACAATGTGATGTGTAATTCTGGTAGCCACAGTGCAGCTTAAATTTGACCAGATGCTAATCAGAAGTGTTGAGTTCTCTTAAGGACAGTGGCTAGAATCCAGTAGTAAACCTCAACTTGAATTAGTGGAGCCTACAGAGGAGCTGACTCGCCAAATCCCCACTGATTCAATGGGCCTACTCTGGTTGCAACTTACTAGTGGATTTTAACTCCTGAATAACAAATATGAAAGACAGAATCTCATTGTGGAAATGCCTAGCACAAGTGTAGTTGCTCCAGTGGTTTTGCCCACCTTAGACAGTTTGTCCTTTGTGTTCCCAGTTATACAACAGTTGTGAACTGGGTGTGTGGCCAGTTGCTTGAAGGATAGCTCCATCGAGATGGGGGGCAGAATCACTACGCAATTGATTGTCTTTGAACACTTGAGTTTTTAGAACCATATTTTGTCCAAGTGTGTATCACTAATATTTGGTTGTCTACGCGGTAGACTTCGTCTGCTCTGCACCAAAAAAAAGATACTAAAAAAAACCATTGAGAGACCTGTAACCTGTATATATTTTGCAGAAATAGCATCCTTACATTTTTCTGCATTCAGCAATTTATTCCCCCAAAATTGCACCACTTTGGGACCTTTACCCTCAGTGTCTTTAAGTCCTTCCTGTTGAAGCATGAGCTTCAGCCTCTCCTCCTTGAAACCAATAGGGCTTTTAAAAAGAGGTATGGTAGATATGGTAGCCAGTTATGAGCCGTTTCAAAATGAAAGCTCTGGTTGTCAGGATGCTGAAGTCGAAGATCAAATGGTGTATTTGTACAGTGCTGTCAGATATATTGTACACACCCTGTCAGCTCAAAAACTTTGTGCTTGAAGTACAGGCAGGTCATGTTGCTGATACCAGCTTTTGCAAAATGCTGCTGGATCTCCATTTTGGCAGTTAGGGCTTGCCTTCCCTGTTGTGCTCAAGATTGGTTTCAAGGGCCAGGTTATCATTTGGTAAATGAAATTATCGTTTGGCAAATATGGTGTGCTAATAAATTCATAAAGCTGGGATAAAATCTTGCCAGATTGTTTTTAATGCTGTTTATGCCAGTTCTTGACCATGCAGATACACAGTCTCGCTGTTAGACGCACAAGTGGGATGTCAGCAGTGCTCAGCGTGTCAAAAAGAAAAAGAAAAAAATAAGGTGGTGTGCCTGGGACTTGACCAGGTGCCGTGCTTGGAACTTTCTGGGAGCTGAATATGTGTCATGATCTTGGCCACCCTTCATGGGAAGCTGGCATACGCTGCTGTTCCATAAATATGTGTTAGCAATAACTAAAGTAGGCATGGAATGTGCAGCTGGGTTTCTGTTACAAGTGTTCTTGGCAGAGTCTTGGCTGGAAGTCACAAAGATACAGGAAGTGCTCAATGGAGATCTGTCTTTAAATAATCAGACTTCTAGGTAACCCAGGTTGTTAATGATGTGCTTTCTCCTTAAGACAAAGTAATTACCTGAGGCTTCGCCAATTTATGTTCATTCTCTCTCTCTTTTTCTCTCTCTCTCTTTCTTAACTGATTCATTTTTAAAATTATATTTTGTTTCTTCCAGACAACTGAATAACAATGAACTGACGACCATTCCTTCACTGGGAGCTGCTTCAGCTCAGATCATATCCCTGTACCTGTAAGTTTAAGTTTCAGTAAACGTGTCTGTATGTTTCTAATTTAAGGAATCTGTCTAATCCATATGTACGTTATTGTGGCTTGTCTGGAGTCAGTAATATATTCAGCCCCTCAGGCAAGCTGGAACTTACTAGAAAGGTTTTGAAAGGAGAAGTTTGCCTTTCCCCTCAGAGTTTTTCTTATCTGCAGGACCGTTCAAGGCACTTTCTCTTTAGTTCTTCTGAAATTGCCTCAGAGCCAAATACTCTAAGGATGACCTCAGAATCGAAGTATGATAGATTTTTAGTTCGTAACTTGGTCATTATGTCAGTTAAATTTGGTTGCCATCCATGATCCAAAGCAGTGGTTCTTAACCTTGGGTTAGTCAGGTGTTTTTGAACTGCAATTCCCAGAAACCCCAGCCAGCAAAGCTGGTGGTGAAGGCTTCTGGGAGTTGCAGTTCAAAAACACCTGAGTAACCCAAGGTTAAGAACCACTAATCCAAAGAACCAATGAAGGCATATAGTTAGACTGCCCAGCTATAAGCAAGGTATCTAAGGTGGTTTTGGGCCTTGCTTCTCTGAGTAAATACAGCTTTTTTCTTTTTTTTCCCAATGGCAGTATGCTTCTCCCAGGTTCAGAGACAAGATCACTTGTAGTTTTCACTTCCTTGGTAACAGGAGAGGCATGAAGTTGATTCTGGATGGGAAAAGCATGCTGCACTTAGGCCTGATCCAAGAGGACTGGCCTGACCCAACAGAGCTGTGCTGCTTAAAGGATACAATTATGTGAACTTACCCCAGTTCCTAAATATTGATAATAAATATTGCTAAGAGTCCCAGGAACCTTTGTCTACAGAGAAAAGACACCTGCCGTTGAATCGAATTCTCTGGAATTTTCCCCTTGGGGTGTCAGGCAAAATTGAGAGTGAAGACTGGACAATTTAAGGGCTCAGTGCCACAGGAAGAAAGTAAATTCTACTTGTCTTATAGGCAGCCAGACTTTGACCCAATTGGCACTAGCGCCAGATGGAACCAGTCCTGTCAGGCCAACAAACATAGCTCCATATATTCGCGAAGTCTTTCACGGCCAGGATCTAACGGTTGTTGTGGGTTTTTCGGGCTCTTTGGCCGTGTTCTGAAGGTTGTTCTTCCTAACGTTTCGCCAGTCTCTGTGGCCAGCATCTTCAGAGGACAGCACTCTGAAGCATAGCTTCCTCAAATCTAAGGGAAAGGCGGTCTCAAATCTAAGGGAAAGGCAGCCAGGTTTTTATATGGGAGGGGGTGTGGGCTGAGGCACATTTTCAAACTTAAGTACAGTGGTGCCTCGCTTAACAAGTGCCTCGTTTAGCGATGAATTTGCATAATGATATGTTTTTTTAGAAAATAATATGCACCGTATAAC